GGAACCGAGCAGATGCTCTCAGGTGAAGCCCCCCCCCCCCAGGAGGATTCAGGCACAAGATGCTTCTCCCCTCCTGCGATTTCCAGAAACTAAATTTGCTTCTCTTTCGAAGCAGTTCCTGTCAAATCCTTGTCTCCTGTGGGAGGGAGTTCCACAGTCCCATGCACGGCACGAAGGGCTTTATTTCACCTGAATCTCCCAGCATTCTTCTTCCTTGGGAGTCCCCAGTCCTGCAACCTTCCTTCCAAGAGGAGACACTCCTTCACCCCAGGGCATCCCTTTCCTGAACTTTTCCCAGCTCTACAACATCCTTTTTAGGCGAGGAGACCAGAAGAGGACCCGGGACTCCAATGGCAGCTGCACCACAGATTTATAGAACAGCATTAAGATATTGGCAGATTTGGAATAATTAGAGCTGAGACCATGACGCCTGTAAACCCCCCCCCCCAATCACCATGGGATTTGAACCCACAGCCCTGGGATTAAGAGTCTTGTGCTCTGCAGTCTTCTTTCCTAATGATCTCCAGCACAGGGGCTGCCCTCTTATACTGCCACTCTGCCTTAGGAAGAGGTCTGCAAAAGGGACACAAAGGTTGGCAATCCCTTGCGGACCACCACGCTCAGTTTGTGCGTCCGTAGGAGTGACCAGAGCAGGAATGGCCGCTGGGAGGAGCAGAGATGATGATGAATATTAATTGAATTTGCTTACTGCCATATGCCCATAGATCTCAGGGCAGTTCACAACCTAAAATTACGAGGGTGCCCTGGTTGCTTCTGCGCGGCCAGACGCCTTCGTCTGCCCCGGCTGCAACAAACATGTCTCTCCCATCTCTGCCTCTACTACAGCAGCTCTTGTTATTAAATATACCAAGAAAAAAGCACACCAAGCTCTCTGGCCATGTAAGTTTCAGTAGTGGGAGTGGTCCCTATTCGCACATCAATAGTCAATTGTAACAAAAACTAATCCATTCAAAAGTATGTACCTCGGTTACATACGCTTCAGGTTGCAGACTCCGCTAACCCAGAAATAGTGCTTCAGGGTAAGAACTTTGCTTCAGGATGAGAACAGAAATCGTGCTCCAGCGGCGCAGCAGGAGGCCCCATTAACTAAAGTGCTGCTTCAGGTTAAGAACAGTTTCAGGCTAAGAACGGACCTCGTGGACGAATTAAGTACTTAACCCGAGGTACCACTGTATTCTGACAAGGATTACAAACTCAAATAGAGATTACAAACTCAAACAGAGATTGCAAACTCAAACTCATAAGGATATGTATAACACAATAATTCGCTACAGAATCAGAGATAAGTGTTTATGAGTAGAGAGAAGTTCATGTTAGTCCATAGTCAGATTCGACATGGAGGTCTTAGTTTCAACCATAGAGCAGAAGTCAGAAGTCAATCATGGATCAGAAACCAGGCCAGGGCCTGTTTCGATGTATTCACCTTCATCAGCTAATTTTTAAGGGGTTGTGTAAGTTTTTAAAGGGTAATATAAGTGTGGGTAGATTGACTATGGATGTGCAAGTAGGGACCACTCCCACTACTGAAATTTATATTGGCCAGAGTTCTTGGTGTGCTTTTTTTCTTGGTCTACTACAGCAGCGACCGCAGCAGGGACTGCAGCCTGCCAACCCTTTGACTTCACCCAGGAAGGCGCCCTCCATTGAGAGACACATGCCAATCAACAATTACCCACGTCAGCTATTGCTTTTTGCTAAATTAGAAACTCTGTCTCCTTTCTTCGTAAGGGGTGTGTGTGTGTGTGTGTGTCTCTACCCCCTTGATCATTTCGGTTGACCTTGCCCACCCTGCAATATCCTGCTTGAAGCGAGGCAACCAGAACCGGCATACGATTCCAAATGAGTCCGCCCCATAGATTTGGAGAATGGCCTTATTAGATGGGCAGATTGATTTCCGAGCCTTTTCCTCAGGTTCCCTTCCATGGAGGGGATTTGGCCCCCACCCAGGGGTCAACTCCTTTACTTCGGCCTCGCTACTGGTCTGCCACCTCAGGTTCGGACCCCACAGGCATCATATAGGGCAGGCCTGCAAGCCACCGCGGGCCCCACTCAGCACCCCCCCGAATGTTTCTGGGAAGCCCGTGATACAGAGGGGGGCAGCCCCCCCGTTCCCAGGCCCCCTGCCTCTTTCACGCATGTTCACAGGCCCTCTGCGTGCGCTCAGAGACTCTGCTGCTCGTTGGCATCCGATCCCATAGAAAGGGTCTGGGAGCAGTTTTGTTGCTCCTATGCCAGAGTCGGGGGGGGGGAGAGAAGAGACTGATAAATTAGTGGAGAGCACACACACATGGAGAGGGGGGAGAGGGAGCCCCCCTCCGGAAAGAGCAGCTTTATTAAAATCAACATGTTCCAGAAGCAGAGATTCAAGTTGGGGTGTGTGAGTTTAATAACAGAAATAAAATTAATGGGGGGGGGGAAGCAGCGAATGAATATGGGCATGCTGAGGGAGGGAGGAGGCCAAATAGAGAGCCGAGCCATGCATGTGGGTCACCGCCAGCCCCCCCTGACACCCCAAGGAGAATGGAGGAGGACTAAAGACCCAAAGGGATATGGGGGGGGGAGCACTGGGTTCCTCCCCACCGACCTTGAGAAGGTCAGACGCCTAGGTGGGGGAACATGAACCGCATCAACTGAGCTCTGCCCCCCCCCAAATAATCATAATTTTATTATTTATATGCCATCCATCTGACTAGGTTGTCCATGACATTCTTAGGGAATGGAGGAGGCAAAAAATGGGAACATACTCAGCCTTGTTTTTTTTGGGGGGGGGGGTTCCTGGCGTAGAGAGAGACACATGCATGGGGGGGGGCTCTCTATTGTCCCACCCTCCCTCCCCAAACTCCACACCTCCTTGCATAGATGAGGAACAGGGCCACGTCCAAAGTGCTAAACCAGAAATTTTAGGGGGTGAGGGGAGAAAGAGAGGAGAGGGAAAGGGGTTTGCTTAGGCCTCTACCTGGGGGGAGGGGGGCTGGGAGGGACAAGAATCTAGGAAACCGCATTTTCTGATAACCATTATTGAGGTAAAAACTCGACCCCTTCTCCCTACAAGCTTAGCATTCCCCAAATACTTTAAAAACCATTTTTTCTTTTTTTTAAAAAAGTGCCCCTACTTTGGGGGCGAGGGGGCTGTCGGCGGGAGGTTACAATGCCCCTCCCCACATTCTCTAAAATACAGTCTGTCGCGGGAATCCTCTTTGGGGTCAGGAGCTGCGCCCCAAAAGCCCCCCGCCCGGCCCCTCACAAGCACTGTTTGTCTCCGTGGGGCAGAGGGAAGACCTCACCCCAAAAGCCTGCAAAGCTCAGAGGTGGGCAGGGGGGGGCTGCGCAGGAGACCCACAGCAAAGAGAGGGCTGCCCCCCAAAACACAGTACCATGCCTTTAAAACCCGCATCCCTTTCCCCCGTCGAGGGAGGGGCAAGGAGGTGCTCCCCCAAAGGTAAACTGCCCCCCAACAGCCCTGGAGTGTGTCAGGGAGATCTGGCCGGAAAGCCACCCCTCCCGTGTCCCAAACCCCTAAAAATCCATCCGTGGAGGAAGCCAACGTCACCTCACTTGGGGGGCTCTTCTGGAGGCGGTGGGGGGTACGTGAGGTGGGCGTGTCAGGGGGGGAGAGGCAGCTGATGGGATGGCCGTTGTCGTGGCGAAGAGAGAGGCGAGTGAGGGCACCCAGTCCAGCCCCTGCCGCGATCCCCACAAAAGCGCCCCCTTTCTTTCTGTCGGCAGGAGTGACTTGGGAGGAGGAGGAGGAGGAGGGCGGTCAGGACATCTGGTGGGGGGCTTCCAGCATCTCCATGAGGAAGGTGTCGATGGGGGTGTCCC